TTAGGTAATTTAGCTTTGTGTTAGCGTGTAACTTATATATATATATATCTTCTTGGATTATGTTTTTGTTCTAGCTCTTTGATTGTATCTCCCTTAATCTGGGTGCCCATTTTTTGCATGGTTTTGATAGTGTAACTACTGCAGGCAAGATGAACAGGAAGCCGGGAGACTGGGACTGCAGGGCGTGCCAGCACCTCAACTTCAGCCGTCGGGACATATGCCAGCGCTGCAGTGAACCACGTGGGGTCGCTGATCGTGGCAGTGGTGGTGGAGGTGACTATGCCAACTTCGGTGGCCGTGGTGGTTCCTCCTTCGCTGGCTTTGGTGCTGGCTCTGATGTCCGCCCTGGTGACTGGTACTGCTCCTGCGGTGCACACAACTTCGCCAGCCGCTCCAACTGCTTCAAGTGCTCTGCCTACAAGGAGGAGGCTGCTGTAAACAGTGGTGCTGGCGGCTTTGATAGTGACATGTCACGCTCACGGGGCTACGGCATCGGCAGCGGTGCTGCCCGTACGAACCGCCCCGGTTGGAAGTCTGGAGACTGGATCTGCACCAGGTGCGTGTTACTTAACTTTATCCTTCTACCTTTGCTGAAAGATAAAGTTTGCTCTGTTCTATCTTATTTTCAGTTATGTGTATCTACAAACTTAGTAACTATTTCATGGACGGGCAAAGTATATCATTCTTTCCATGAATCCATGTGCTTGTTTTCTTATCGACTATGGATATACATACACATGGTCTGATGGTAGTTGTGACCTTGTGTATGCTTATATCTTCTTGTTATGCTATGCTTCCGTGTTTTCTGGCTTTATTTTAGAAAAAAAGGATTGTTTTATCAGCAACATGCTGGAGTAAGAGACAACAGAATCATCTTATCTATGCTTTCTGTCTGCATGGATGATAGCAATAAACTGCTTTTATATATTCTCCAAGGAGTTGCTGATGTGTACCTGATGTGTTGTATTAGTGGATGAGTATTGAGTAGGTACGTGTTTCGTACTACTGGGTTTTGTGCGACATGTGAGGATTGGTTGTCCTTATCACCATATTTCAACGTCATAGCACTCTGCCAGCATGTATTTTCCATGTTTCAGTTAGTTATATGATTTGAGATTCTCATGTCCTGTGAATTCTGCTTTCTGCTAACCCTTGTGCGTGCCTGTCTGAATGTTTACAGGTCTGGATGCAACGAGCACAACTTTGCTAGCAGGATGGAATGTTTCAGGTGCAACGCACCACGGGACTCCGGTAGCGCTGCCATGACCTACGAAAATTACTTGTAAATTATCAAATCTTCCCTCCTTTTTCTGGCTGCTATCCATGATTCTGACCGAATGTGGGGTTGTTCCGTTTGCAGGCACTGAGGCGTAGGAGCCAAGTTTGCAGCGTCGACGAAGCAGAAGCAGCAAGAAGAGAGGAGTCCTCACATCGTCATAAGAGAGTAGTAGATTTGCAAAAGACATCCTTGATGCTCTATTACTAGTTTTGTTCCACCCCTACCGTTTCTTTTAGATTTGGTTCGTTCTCATCCCCATTTGGGACAGTACCCCGGACCTATGTTTGCTGTTTTATTATTTCCGTTCGTTCATCTCTGCATGTTTGCGCTTGGATCGAGTCCTGTGATGTAACCCCAAAACGCTTGCTTCACAAGTATTAGCTAGTACTGTTGCTTCTTAATATCTCGGGGCGTTCATCTTGTTCATGTGTATGAGCATGGTCCTTGGTGTGTGAATCGCTGGCACCTTCATCTTCATCTGTTGGAAGCATGGCCTTGTCCTGAAAGCGTTGTCAAGCGTTTTATTCATTGTATAGGAGTGCCATGCTGAGAAGCGTTGTCAGGCACGAAACACCAATTACAGCAGATGAAGAATCATATCCAAGATGGCCTCAACCTCTGTAGTTGTGATAACGTTTTGGTTCCGAGTAAACACAGTAGCTGTGCTTGGCCGGTGGTAGGTAGCTAGCGATGCACGTGCAACGCAATGTGCCGTCGCGCGGCGAACCAACACCTCTCGTCCCCAGGTCCCAGAGGTGCTCCGTCTCGTGTGGTCACATGCATGTGGTGCTTTTCCTCGCAGAGAAGCGCGCGCCAGAACGTGCACACAACACACAACCTGGAGACCGCCGCATCGGTAAAACCAGCGGCAGCTCGTCGGTCTCTCTGTTGCATGCTCAAGAGCGTGTGCATTGTTGCATTGGATGCTCTTTGAAGAAGTCTTTTCTGAGGCCATGCGCCCATGCCTTGTCTTTAGCTCTTTGCAGTTAAAGGCAGGTGGTTCCATGAGCTTCCCCTGCACGACGCATCATTCACACGCATGTGCCGCCCACCCCGCCCAAGCCCAAGTGATTTGCTGCTGATGGCCGATAAGGCGCGGGGCGGTGCGCGCATCCTGAGCCTGAGCGGTTGAGAGAAAAGATCCCATCCCAGTCAAAAGCGGCATCCAGACCCAGGTCGGCACCAGCAGAGCAAAGCGCGGCGGCCACGTCGCCGCCGCGGCGGGGCATTGGCAGGCCGCGGGCTCTCGACCTGAGGGAGGGAGATTCCTTCTTCGATCGCCTCGACTCCTTTGAGCCCTTTATACATGCATGCACTTTGCACTGCCACTGCCCGCCTCCGCTTTGACCTGAGCGCGGCGGCTTCTTTTCCCCCCTCTGCCCGGTCGCCTTTTATCGTGGGGCGACTGGCGAGAACCCTGGGGGGCTGGGGCATGCAGCGGCAGCGCATCCAGACCTGACCAAAGCGCGGCCGCGGCCCGCAGGTGACTAAAGGCGGGAGCACTGGCGTTGTATGGTGCCTCGCTGCCTTTGGAGGGGAGGGAGAGCCCGAGCCGAGAGGGAGGGAGGCTGGCCGGGCGTGCCCGGCCGGTACGGTGTTGTCTCTTTTGCGGTGTCTCTTCTGCGGTTCCCTCACCCACGAGCACAGTGCACGGATTTTCAAGATGATGGGAGGGACCGCGCCGAAGAGGATAGGACGGGGGTCGCGGAGGCTTTTCGTCTTTCGGGTGACGACCACAGGCAGAGGCAGGCACCAGGGGCCGGGGCTTTGCCTTGCCGGTACCCCGCGCGCGCGTTTACCGGCCGAATCCATGAGGACCGTGTCAGTTGTCACCGTGAGCTCGTCAGTCCGTCACCAAGAGTAACTTTTCGAAAGAAAAAGAAGAAGAAGAAGAAATAGACAACCACAGAATCACTAAACCCTTGCTAGGATCCATGTTTCTTACGGGTGGCATTATGATGGAGATCTAATTGTTGATTATTTTGCCGCCTTGAATCATACCATTGTTGTTGTGAAATGCAAGCTCCGGCGACTGTCGTGCCACGTATATAACGGATGATTATGACACCGATATGTTGTGACCCTGAACATCTCCAGTCGTCAGGCTCTGGAGAAGGAGCTTCTTCTAGCATACGTGTCCAAAGTCCAAACCAAGAATCTCATGGCTCAGGTCTCATCACCTCGTTGCCTATATATTGTGCAAGCTGCGCGCAAAGAATTGTACACTTAGGGCTTGTAAGTCTTGCGAGATCCTCTGCCATCGGAGCTGTATGAGAGACGAGAGGCCCTCGGCATTTTGGCCGAAACTGTCATAGTGGAGACGTTGGGGAGCGGCCTCGGAGAGGCTTGGTATACCGGTGGGGAAGAAGGTCCATGAACTATCCATGGAGTTACCCGTCTGGGAGGTTGATCCTTGTGATGGCATGCTTGCAAGAGAATCTAACGATGATTAGTGGAAAGAGTGAGCCTTTTGATACCTCACTAAAGATATCCAGGTTAGTTGATAGGATTGAAACTAAGCGTGCGATTTTTTTTCCTGGCGTCAAAGATAACAACACTTAAAAAACTTAGTGCAAATCTTTATGCATGTACGTGAATGTCAAATCTCCTTGCTCTTGTGGACAAAAGTTCTTGAGGTGGAGCAATAGTTTTACAGGAGGATCAAAAGTTTATACAAATGGAACCAATCATGTAAACTCGTGGAATAAAGGTTTGTACACCTGGCTTGATTGATAAGCATTGTTCAACCGGAACTATTATCTGTAGACCAAAAATTCTGCAGTGGAACATAAATAACATAAAATAAGCGGAATTTCTAAATAAGCACATAAACTCACGGAACAAATCCCTATTCAGGTGGAACAAAACAATATCTACGACCACTTGTGCAGGTTGTTTAATTTGCTTTTTTTTTAGGGGGTTGCCCAGTTATTACCGTATGATTTTGGGCTCGTGTGCTGTTACCTGAAGAAGAATGCCAGTCAAACAGAAGCAGGCCTAGCGGCCCCGCGTCGCGTGGGTCAACCTGCCTCTTTAATGGGCCGTAAAAGAACCCTTCCGTAACGCCGGCCCAGTACGCGTGGAGCCCGTCGTGGCGTCCGTCCGTAGCCAGTGGATGTGTTGGATTTTTCGCAATGCGTTGGATTTTTCGTCGCTGGCTGCAGGCGACTAGGCGAGTAGGCAGTCCGGACGCCTCCTTTGTCACTCATCGTCGTGTTGACTGTCTCGCCAAAGGGGGGCGTGCAGGGCACTGGGCATGGCGAGCCCCAGCCTCCTTCGCTGAAGCTTCCCCGATTCGCCACGACGCCACACCGGTGATGCATTCCGGCCCCGCCATGGCCAACTGCCTTTGCGAATTCTCTTGTCGCTCTTGGGTCCCTTCACAGTCACAGGTACCCGTACCACCAACTCTCTGACTCTGACGGTCAATCGATCCCCTCAGGCCGGCCGAGGAGGTCTCGGTTGGTAGCTGCGGGTGGAGTGCTAGCGGTACTGATGCGAGCGGGGATTGGGATTCAGATTGGTGCTTGTGGGGGTGAGCGATCGGCTGCTTGCTTGCTCGTCTCTGAATTGATGGATCGAGAAATTGCGCTGCCCGTGTCTGCGGCGGTGGCCATGAGGATGCACGCGATGTGTTTGTGGAATTGCTGCAGCCTGCGCTGAGTCTTCCTGCAAGGGAGCGCTGCTTTTGCGGCCGTGATCTGAAGCGGGTTCTCGAAGCATGGACGTGGTGCAGGTGCTCGCCTCGGCGGCCCAGCTGGTCTCGGCGATGGTGTCCGCGGTCGGGGCACTGGAGCAGGCGGCGTCGGACCTCGCGGAGGCTCCGAGGAGGCTGCAGGTGCTGGAGAACTTCGTGTCCGACCTCGACGCGCTGACGGAGCAGGCAAGGCAGCGGCACGCGCACAAGCTTCACGGCCCGCAGCTGGACCGCCAGTTCCAGAGCCTGGGCAGGCTCATGGACCAGCTGCGCGGGAACGTCGCCAAGGCCAGGAAGGTCCTGAGCGGCAACGGGAAGGGCAAAGGGAAGGGGTTCGCCAGGCTGGTGCGGAGCTCCGTGGCGGGCGACCCGCTCATGTGGTACGTCAGGCTGATCAGGGACGACCTCAACCAGTGGCTGGAGCTGCAGGAGCTGACCCAGAGCGTCGGCAAGGTCATAGCGTCGACCGCCAGGAGCACGCCGGCGTTGTTGAGGGTTAAGTCCGAGCATGGGTACCCGGTGTCGAAGAAGTGCAGCTATGCCAGCGAGCTGTTGGAGAGGGATGGGGCTCATCGAGTCGTCCTCATCGTCGGTCTCTCTGGTATTGGGAAGTCATGCCTTGCGCGACAAATTGCTTCTGATCCGCCTTTTAGTTGTGTGGATGGTGCGATTGAGATTGGTTTTGGGCGGTGGTGCAGCAGGGCAGCATGTAATGGGAGCAGAAGCGAGTACCATAAGCGCCGTGCTAGGAAGATCTGCACGTTCCTTGTGCAGATCGGCTCCATGACTGTCAAGGAGGAGGTTGGAAAAGATCTTGATGATGTCTGTTGCTTGCTCCAGACAGCATTGGTCGGAAGGAGCATGCTGATCCTACTTGATGATGTTTGGGAGCAAGACGTTGTTGACCGCTTCACAAGACTATATGATAATGATTGCCAGTATCTCGTGACAACAAGGGATGAAGCTATCTACGAGATAGCAGAAGCTGAAAAGGTAGAAATATCCAAAGATGACATCAAGGAGATCAGCAGGGAGATTCTTCTCTATCACAGCCTTCTCAGTGTTGGAGAGCTTCCGGTATGCATTACTCTTAGCCTTGATGGCCCGTCGTTAGTTTCAGCTGCGTATCACATCTCTTAGCTTTCTTTGCTGATACTAATTTGCATATGTTCATCTGCTGCTTTAATGAAGGCATCCCTGCTGCGAAAATCTCGACTTGTACATATGTTTGCATTTCAAGATTAATCTTATCCTGTTAACAACATGTTTTCTTAAGTAACATATGGTTGCGCCTTATTTTCCGTGCCCGGGTTGCGGTAGTGGTGGGCCCTGCCCAGGCCACGTCCCGCTAACTGGGCGATGTTTCGTCGTGCAAGGCGTGTCCTATCAGCCAGGGCCATGTCCTGCCGCACGCCTTTCCGCATTAAATAGGGGGAAGGGAGAGGATTTTCCTCCCGTTCTTTCGCCTTCCTTCAACCGCTGTCGTTCCTCCTTCCTCCTTTTCGCTAAGTCTGTTCGTGTGTCGCGGCGGTTTCTAGGAGAGAGGAGGGTAGAGCGAGGGAGAGGAGAACTCATAGATTCATTCGTAAATCCGAGGCGCGATGTCGAACTGGAGGCCTTCCAACGTGGATGAGGAGGTGTTGTCCGCCTTCACTGAGAAGGGGCTACTCCCGTCGAAGGAGGTGGCGCATTGGAGGGCTCCTGCGCCGGGGGAAGTTGTTCCGCAACCCCGGGCCGACGAGGTCGTCTCCTTCCTCGCCTTCCACAAGCGCGGGCTCGGGTATCCCGCGCACTGGTTCCTGCGTGGGCTCCTCAACGAGTGGGGCCTGGAGCTGCAGCACCTCAATCCGACTGGGGTACTGCACCTTCCACGAGCGCGGGCTCGGGTCCGGCATATCTCCCGGTCGAAAAAGGAGGTTGGAGTCGGACTGTGTCCCCACCTTGGCCAGGCCTTCTGGTCGGGGACCGGATCGTTCTCATGGCCTGGCATTATGTATCTGGGCAGGCCCCAGGAGGCGCGCGTTGTCGCTACGCCGTCTACTGGGCCGAGTTTTTCCAGGGAAGCGGGTCCATTGGGGACCCCGGGTTTATGAACCCGACACTACTCTTCATTAAGATTGAGATAAAGATGTTGATGAATGTGTACTTTTCATTAAGAGTGAGATACAAATTTTAAAAAAACTGAGTGAGATAAAGATTTTGATGAATGTGACCGTCGGTCATAACAATGATACCCCTAAGCAGAGAAATAGCTAAATTCCTAGATTTTTTTAAGTTCCAAGAGGAAGATAATGTAGTCACCATTAAAGATATTAAAGCGGTGCTTAAAGAGCCATATAAGGTTTTAACAGATTAAACCCAAATAAGAAATCAGAAGATACACTATTTTTATTAAAGATTGGACGATCTAGGGGAGCACGGTATGTAGAGACCTATGACTTGAAGAGAAGCGGGACTGCGTGCCCACTTCAATGATTCAAAACAACGAATTTCTCGATACCTATTGATATTGTATGACTTATACAACTCCTGTTGTTGGCTCTTCGAAGAAAATGAATAATGTAAACAAGCATCTTATGATACATGAGCCTGTAGAATCAATTTCCTCTTGACAATGAAGAGCAACAACAGCCCCACATGAAAAGTGCCAGTAGCTGAGGCCCCAAAAGGTCTCAAAGAATTAGTAAACCAGTTTTCTGATGACTATGAAGTCTATGTTAGTGAAGAAATTCAAATGGAGGGTGATCCCACCTCATTTGAAGAAGCCATGAGAAACGTTTACTCATTTGAATGGCAAAAAGCTATGGAAGTTAAAATGAATTCAATAAATACCAACGATATTTGGGACTTAGAAGAACTTTCTAATGGAGCCAAAACAGTAGACTGTGAAATGGTCTACAAGACAAAATGTGACTCTAAAGGGAATATGAAAAGATATAAAGCATGACTTATAGCAAAAGGCTTTATGCAAAGAGAATGAATACATTACGATTTAGGGTTACATCAGATGGATGTAAAGACGGCATTCCTCAACGGGGATTTGTATGAAAACGTTTACATGGCACAACCTAAAAGTTTTGTCGTGGAAGAAAAAGAACGTATGAGATGCCGCCTGTAGAAATCCATTTATGGGTTAAAACAAGTCTCTAGACAGTAGTATTTGAAGTTGATGAAACGATAAGAAAGTTTGGGTTTAAAGAAAATGAGAAGGACAATAGCGTTTATGCGAAGTTCTAGAATGAAAAATTCTTTTTCCACATCCTGTGTATAGATGACATCCTACTCACTAGTAGTAATGTTAATCTGCCATTGGACAAAAAGTCTTTGTCCTCAAGTTTCAATGTGAATGGTCTTGGTGAAGTCTCATTGGTTCTAGGAATTGAAATTCACTGAGATACATGAAAAGGGGTATTAGGACTATCGCAAAGATATCTTAGAAAGGATTCTAAAGAAATAAAGTATGCATACAAATAAACCTACACCTGCTTCTATAGTCAAAGGTAATAGATTTGGAAACTTTCAGTGTTACAGGAACCGATATTAGATCGATCAAATAAACATGGTTCTATATGCTTCAGCTGTTGGAAGCTTAATGAATGTACAAGTAAGAACTTACCCTGACATAGTTTACGTATACGGGATATTTTGGCAGAAGTCCAATACAGATATAGATCACTGGAATGGAGTTAAGAATGTCTTGCAATTTTTGCAAAGTATCATAGGCTTCATGCTGAGGAAGAAAGAACAAGTACTCTTAAATAGTCATTGGTACAAATGTTAAGTTTTGGCGAGATGTGTAGTGAAATCCACAGTAGTTGCTAACACTCGCAGTTGAAGTATTATTGTGGAAAAGCTCCAATGAACAGTTGTGGTGTCATCAATGATGCATACCATAGTATAGCTTGTCATGCGGCCTCAGGAACAGGCAAAAGTGGTTAAGGGAATATGTACCCGGATTTAACAATAGTAGTCAATAGCAATAACCATTTAAAGTAGTTAACTCTTAAGACAATATGTCAAATGTGCTGCCAAACACATTGACATTAAGTTATATGTTGTAAAGAAGAAAATCTAGAATCATTTTAAAAGCATTGAGCATATAAGTATCAAGTAAGTACTTATGGATCCGCTTACCAAAGGCTAATCATCCAGTGCGTTCAGAGAACACACAGTTGACATGGGTCTACGGGAAATCCTATGATTTCTGGATACTAAGGGCCTAGTTGAGAATCTGTTTTAAAACAGAGAGGTGCATTGTAGCTGTTTAATCTAATGGCAACTGACTGTGACGATGAGTCACGCTCTATGCACTGATCTACGATGGAATGGGAAAAAGATAAATTAAGTTAAGTTTAAGTAATAAAGTGAGATCAAGGGGAAGAATGTTAGATTGATCTCCACCAGTTGGCCCAACGGTCAATTGGACCCTTGATCCGCGTTCTGATTGGGGGCACCCAGGCGTTCTCCTAGTTGATGGCCCCCCGTCGCGCAGCGCTATAAAGAGGAAGGTGGGGGCCGGGACGCGAGGGACGAGGTTCACCGTAGCCGCCAGCGTCCCACCGAGGTTTCTAATCCTAGTCCGATCTAGAGGGCACGCTGTGAGCGACGAGAAGCTCCACCGCCTTCACCGCCACCACTGGACCGCGCCTGCACTGTTGCCACCTTCGACACCCTAGCGGGCACGTTAAGCTACCTCTACACTGACACGTCGCAGCCACCTTGTTGGCGGCACCACGGCCGCGACTGCACTCGACAAGGTATATTGATAAGATATTGTCTAAGTCAAGTTTTACCCATTGATCTACACCTAGATGATCCTATAAATCATATCACACTTTACCTGGAGAACAAAGCAAATGATGTTGTTCGTGCTCTTTTATCTGAATCGATTTCTTATTATGCGGCATTAGTGGCTCCTTGGCTTTTTGTTTTTGGCAAAGAGTGTATGAAACGGCCAGCCGAACAGAAGATGGGATCATTCTTTTCTCTGCTAGAATTCACGGAGATCGAGATTTTATTGGTAAACACAACTCAAGCTCTCTTGGCATGCAGATCCCTATCTGAATTTGAGGCAAGCAGACTTGGGTTCAGCAAAATACTTGGCCCTCGAATAGCAGAGATAATTGCAGTAGGGTCACCAGATCTTATTTTTGCAGTCACTACGGCAATTACAGTTATATTTTTCCAAGCAGACTACATAAAATCTTGCTCCGTCTCTTGAAACAGCAGGTTCCATAGATAAATTAATTGATCTTCTTGGTGCCTGCGAAGATACTTCAAACTCTAGCCAACTTGTCTTCTGTTCTGGCCAAGATATCTGAGCACGTTGATGCCACAATTGCTGATGAAATTTTGTCAAGAATTCCCATGGATCGAATTGCAGATCTCTTGTCTGTAGAAAATGAGCAGTGGCATGAAATTGTGTTTACAACACTGGCAAATTGAATCAGGAATTGACAAGAAACTTCTTGTGCTTCTGGGCAATGGTTCTGAGATCTCACAGCATCACGCGATTATCACGCTCAAAACATTCTGTGCACTTGGTGCTCCACTGCAAGGGTGCATGGGGCCTGCAGTGCTGCTTCATTTGCCCTGGCATGCTCGGATCAGTTTGGAAAGATTTGTTTTATTTGACAAAAATCTATCTCAATCACCAAAGCCTCAACAATCATTTGAGGTGATTCTTCATAAGATCCTTCAAAGAGACAACAAAGATATCATTGAAGCCATCCAAGGTTTGTTATCTCTTGCTGAGAGGGCAAATGATACAAGGGTGCAAGATCTCCTTTTGGGAAGCAACCTGTTGTTAGAATCGATTGTGTGTACCTCTCTGAGACCGTAACCCGTAGATCCGGTGAAGGCTCCTCGCCTTCTCAGTAGATGCACCGCAGCGGGGAGACGCCGGTGCCGTCGGAGTAGCAGCCGTCCAGCGCGGTGGAGACGATCACCAGTGGCGATGTGGAGACCCTGTAGAGGTGTGACGGCGGTGGTGGCGGGCTCATCCCGTCGCTGGCAGCACGCTTTAGGATCGGATTAGGGTTTTCTCTGTAGGTGGGTGGCGGCTCACGGCGAACCTCGTTAGGCGAGTCCTGGTCCCCACCTTACCTTTTATATGTGCTGTGCGACAGGGGCCCACCAAC